TCCAGGAGAAAGAAGAGATGGCCAACCACCCCTGCCCTTGCACTCACTAAGCCCCAGCCCTTGTTCTGTTCCTCAAACACATTAAGCTACTTCTCACTTTAGAGTTTCTGCATTTGCTCTCTTGGGCTAGAACACTTCCAGGATCTTCACATCCTGGCTCCTTCAGGTCTCAGCCTAAGTAACATGACCCTCAAAGGCCTTCCCTGACCACCCAACATAAAACAGCCCCTAGTCAGGCACCATCACACTGCCATTTTGTTTATTTTCATACAAATTTCTTCCTGATATGTTATCTTGCCGTCTTCCTTCTTCTCATTACAATGCAAGTACCAAGAGAGCAGGGACCTTCTATTTCGTTCATGGCTAAATCTCCAGCATCCAGAACAGGTCTTGGCACAAAAAGGCACCTGAATAAAAGCATAAATTGCCCAGCTAGAGTCCAAAGTTTATTTTCAATCTTGATGTATAAGTGCAATTAAGTAACTCCAAGAATAAAATTAGTAAGGCTCTAATGCAACCCAGGTTTCTGGTGCTCCTTTCTCGACTCAACTTTGTCTTCTACACCAAAATCCACTATACTAATTCCATCCACTGTTTTACCTTCTCAAAGAGCTCATCTCTTCTCAAAGTCAAAAGAATCAATTTCTTAAGAGATGACTCAAACTATCCACTTCAAAACCAACTTCCTTGTGCTGTAGCTTCAACCCCACACCTCCACCTGTCAGCAGGACACCCACGTGCCTTTAACATGTGTAAAGAACAAGCTCATCGGCCTACACGGTGGCTCACGCCTGTAATTTGGGAGGCAGATGCGGATGGATCAAGAGGTCAGGAGACCGAGACCATCCTGGTCAACTTGGTGAAACCCTGTCTCTACCAAACTACGAAAAACAGCCGGGCATAGTGGTGGTACGCACCTATAGTCCCAGCTACTCGGGAGACTGAGGCAGGGGAATCACTTGAACGTGGGAGGCAGAGGTTGCAGTGAGCCAACATTGTGCTGCTGCACTCCAGCCTGGCGACAGAGCAAGACTCCTCCTCAAAAAAAAAAAAAAAAAAAATAAATGAAAATAATGACGATAATAGTAATGCTAATTTAACCTCAAAAAAAAAAAAAAAAAAAAGCTCATCACTTCCTTTTCTATACCTGATGATGGCATCAGCTGTCACTCATACTCAAGGTCTCAATCGACTGTAATTCATGGTTCTCTTTCACTCCCTATGTCTAATAAAGCATTTGGACCTGCTGTTTCTTTTGAAATATTTCTTGCATCTGCCACTGCTTCTCCATCTTTCCTCTCTCTAAACTATCCAGGCCCTCATACCGAGAAGGTTATTACTAAGCTACTCCGGGTTTTTAGCACTACCACTAAATGGAACTAAAACTGCAACTCTTATAAATTCATCTGGCAATGATCAATACTTTTGTGGAGGCTGTAAGAAAAACCCGACTTAGTGATGTAACTAGCTTGCCTAACATAAAGGTTGTACTCATACAAACACACAGGCATGAAAACCGAGTCATAGCCATATTGAGCTACTGGTCTCCTAAGTTTCAGGCCAGTGTCCTGTACATTCTACAGTCAACATTTTAATTCATTAAAGGAACTTCATTTAAACACGCAACAGTACTGCCACCCATACACTCTGGAACCGTTCTTACATTTTTAACTATTGCAACGTATTCTGGATACATCTTTATTCAAAGCCTGGTTAAAGTATTTATTTAAAGTCTAGCCTATTTGTCTTAACTGACAGATAAAAGTTCTCTGGATACAGTGTTTTTCCTTCTTTGCTAGCAATATTCTCTCTTCTACTGATGATATTCACCCTGGCAGATCCCAAATATGATCTAAAAGGAAAACTTCACAAGCTTTCTGTTCTTTTGCTTATTCTTTCTTTCCCTAGGTACAGAGAACTGCCTCCACCACCTTGCCCAATGGACTATCATAAAATATCTACTTTTCCTCACCAACAGCATATATCCCTGGGACTTGACTCCGTACATTGAAAATCCAACACACTGTTATCCTCTTTTTAAAAGGAGCGTAACACATTGCTCCATTAAGTATTACAAGGATGTTTGTGCTTACCACTTCTATTCAATGTTGTACCATAGATGTTTCCCAGGGCAATTAGGCAAGAAAAAGAAATAAAAGACATCCAGATTGGAAAAAAAGAAAACAATCTCCGATTACTTAATCCTGTACGTAGAAAATTCTAAGGCATCCACTTAAAAACTGTCGCCAAAACAAGCCACACTATAGTTTATAATTGATCTCTGAAACAAGATTATAGCTTCAGAGATCAGTATGCAAAAATCAACAGCATTTCTATATATAAGCAATTAATCAAAAAATGAACGCTTAAGAAAACAAAATTAATAGCATCAAAATGAGTAAAATAATAAGCAACAAATTTCAAGAAAGTACCAAGTTTATACAAAACTACAAAACACTGTTGAAAGAAATTGATTCCTAAATGAAACCAAATTCAGAGTCCAGAAAAAATTCCTTACATTTATGATCAATTTCAACAAGGATGTCCAAGACAATTCAATGAGGAAAGAATAGTCTTTTCAACAAATGGTGCTGGAACAACTAGAGATCCACATACAAAAGAAAGTTGGACTCTTCCCTTACAAAATACACAAAAATTAACTCTTAGAGTACATACCTAAATGTAAGAGCAAAACCTGTAAAATTCCTAGATGAAAACATGGGAGTAAATCTCTGACTTTGGGTTAGGCCAAGACTTATTCTTAGATATGATGCCAAAAAAAGAAACAAACAAACAAAAAAAACAAATAACAGAACATTATCAAAGCTGAAATCTTGCTTGAAAGGATACCACCAAGAAAGTGAAATGACAACCCACAGAATGAGAGAAATTTTTTGCAAATCTTGTATCTGATAAGGGACCTTTAATCAAAATACACAAAGAACCCTTCCAATTTAATAAGATAAATAACCCAATTTAAAAATGGGCAAAGGAGCTGAATAGGCATTTCTCCAATGACACAGAAAAATGGCCAATACGCACATAAAAAGATGCTCAAAATTATTCGCCGTTTGGGAAATGCAAAATCAAAACCACAATGAGGTTATCATTTCACACCTATTAGGATGGCTATAAATCAAAGTCAGCTAACTTGTGTTGCCAAGCATACTGAAAAACTGAAGTCCTTATACACCACTGGTAGCTATGTAAAATGGTGCAGCCACTATAGAAAACAGTTTTCCAATTTCTCAAAATTTAAACCCAGTTATCACATGCCCAAGCAATTCTACTTTTGGGTATATAGTCAAGAGAAATGAAAACATATGTCTTCACCAGAACTTTGCTGTTCATAGGAGCATTATTCATAATAGACCAAAAGTGAAAACAACTCAACTGCCCATCAACTGATGAATGGATAAGTAAATAGTGATATATATCCATGCATTGGACTGTTATTCATTAATAAAAAGAACAAGGTACTGATACATGCTCTAACATGGGTGAATCTTGGAAACATTAGCTAAATTAAATAAGTCAGTCATAAAAGGCCATGTATTGCATGACTACATCTATCTATCTATCGATTATATATATATATATGAACTTTCCAGAATAGGTATATCAATAAAGACAAAGTATATAACTGGTTGCCACAGGCTGAAAGGAGCAGGGAATAGTAAGTGACTGTTAATGGGTTGGTGCTTTTTTCGGGGGTGATGAAAACGTTCTGAAGTCAGATATTGGTGATGACTGCACAACTGTATACATACTAAAAACCAAAGAATCACACACTTCAAAGGGGAGAGTTTAGCTCGGCGTGGTGGCATACGCCTGTATTCCCAGTTACTCAAGAGGCTAAGGCAGGATTGCCTGGGCCCACAACTTCAAAGCTATAGTGAGCTATGATCACTCCACCGCACTCCAACAAGGATGACAATGCAAGAACCGTTTTCATTTAAAAAAAAAAAAAAAAAAAACACCCAAGGTACTCAGTTCACATGCAAACCCACTGGTGAACATAATAATCTCCAGTTCGTCTAGAAAGAAAATGAATATATAAAACCTCTTGTAAGAACACGTATTTTTCTTTACATGTTACATTTAATAGAAAAATCAGCTATACAGAAGTTACAAGAACATTTTATGTCACAAAGGTAAATGTCTATTATTAATACAGCATGGTCCAGTATATTTATGTATTTATATATAAATACATAAAAGGAAAAGCATCTTTAAAATAAACACCATCAATGGCTCCTTGGTGACCACAAAACAACATCCCCACGCCTTTGTCTTCCTTCACAACTGAGCTTTATCCATCTTTTTAGGCTTATCTCCCATTATTCCCTGACACCAATTTGGGTGGGCCAGAGTTTCCACTGAGCAACTCCCACTATTCATCCAACACTATGTTCACTGCCTCCCATTCCCTGACCATTTGCCTTTTGTCTTCAACTAATTCTGGGGACGTTTTACGCAAGTAAATGATCCTTATTCTTCAAGACTTGATTCAAGTCCTATTACAAATAAATTTTCTCACCCTTTCCAGAACACAGCAACCCAACATCTACGGGCCTCTCATAGCCCTACCATCCACAACCCTAAGCTGGCTTCTCATCAAACAGGCACTTTTCACCACCCAAATTCAACTAATTCACTCTTACAATAATAAAGAATAGTCACCTAGAGCTTACCTTTTCCAGCCTTGATTCAATCATTCAGTTTTATCTTCTAAGTCCCTCACTTCCTCACTTCAGCTTTCACCCAGTCCTAAAGAAAACAGCACTCTTGCCAATGACATAGTGCCACCTAGTTGCAACATAAGGTAAATCACAGTGACAGGAGGAGGATCTCCACACTACTTTTTCAGGAATGCAGTGCAGGTAAAAATAAGAAGCTACAGTACTGTTTTGCAGGACAACTAGAGAGTGTGAGCTTATTATAACAAGTCAACAGAACAGATAAATAAAAAATTTTTAAAAATCTCCGAATTTACTCACATATAAGGGAGCTTGCTGTGGAGTAAGTTTCATGACCCAGGACACTGAAACAGAAATGGAATAAATAAATGAGAATAAAATTAAAAGCTGTCATCAAATATATATATATAAGTCACCTAAAGTCCTAGATATCAAGCATAGCTCTGAGTACAATCCCACACTAGAGATTACTATATGCCCAGCTGTATACTACACACTAAGAGATTCAGGAACGAGATGGGGGACGGATTGATCCCAGACTCAATCTTTTCCAGTGGGGAAGATAGATTTTCGGATTGAAAAATAAAGATAAAATGCTTCACTGTCACAGAAGTTTCAACAACCAACGGGATATTTAAAGCAGTTATCAAAATAAAACTACTACATGTTCACTTTTACGTAGTCCCTCAAACTCTCCAAATGCTGTTTGCTCAGGGACTTCTTCCAGTCTTACCAAGAAGCCTGGAAAGTGAAAGGAGGATTGCAAGGGACCCCTAGAACTCTCCTTCTTAAGACACCTTCTCTGAGAAGGGGGGCTACAGCCTGTCCCTCTAACCACTGAATGTCATGGCCCTCCTCAAAATTAATAGCTGGATTTCCCTCATTGTTATTTTCACTAAATGAATTCTCATAAGAATCTCATTAAGACTTAGAGAAGGCTTCCAGGGTTGAATTCATGAATATTAAGAATAACATGTTCTTAAAAGTTTAACTTGGTGATTTGACCAGGACTTCATCTAGGCTATAAATGCTCCGAATGGTAGGTCCTTTACCAAGTACCGTGAATTTGAGTATAAGGTGATTTCATCCTCTTAGGAGTCAGATAAAGAGACCAAAGTGACTTCACTATAATTTGATCTGAGGAAGTTTCTTATTCACAATAGGTAAAGGAAGGCACATACTGACCAGCAATACAAACAACAGTATAAAATGTCATTCATACATGCAAAAAAAAAAAAAAAAAAAAAAAAAAAAAAAAAAAAAAAAAAAAAAAAAAAAAAAAAAAAAAAAAAAAAAAAAAAACCAGGCAAAATCCCAAGCTTTGTGTTCTAACAAATCACAAAAGCCTCACTAACAGCAAATTGAAATGACCAAATGTCTGGAATGAAAAGCAATGCCTTGGTAGCTGTGCATAGCTCAAATAACAAAACCCTCTTTATATTAAAATCCTCACAGGTCTGCCACAGTCCTATGTATGTCTCAGATCAAGACTTGGCCAAAAAGCAGTTAACACACACTTAGAGGGAAAATAATCTACATCAGCCTCCTAAATGCAAATAATCTCCACACCAGTTGCAAGCCCCAACCTTCAATGTGTTCTGCTGGACAGCGCAGTAGGAAGGTGACACACAGGTGGCTTTCTCACAATGACTGAACCAACTCCATCCTCATGTCCATGACCATTCATTTTCTGGTTCACTCCATACCCCGTAACAGACCTCCTGGTTAGGGTACTCATTCCTTTCTAACTGCCTTCACTTAACGACTCTGTACTTTAAGGTGCAAAAATTATCTGCAGAAATCCATGCTGAAACCAAGCTTGAGAAAGGTAGCAATAATAAACAAACACTTTTAGAAGAACCAAGTCAATTTCAAGCCCATCAGATTCTAACAGCAAGCATGAATGAAAAAGAAAGACTGAAAGGCTTGAGTGCCTTCTCAATGTATTAAATATCCATTTAATTTAAAATTAAGCTCACTGTGCTCACTGGCCTTTGAATGAGCTTTCCAGATCCTGCTTAGACTTGCCTATGACGTAGGAATGAAAGAACCTACAAATTTATGAACTAATCTACCTTAACTAACTTGTCAAGTGTTCCTGCATCAAGCAGAAGAAAAATTAAAGGAGCAGTGTCCAATCTTCTGGCTTCCCTAGGCCACACTGGAAAAAGAAGAATTGTCTTTGGCCATATAAAAAATACACTAACACTAACAGCTGATGAGCTTTAAAAAAAAAATTACAAAAAACGAAAATCTCAAATGGTTTGTTTGTTTTTAAGACAAAGTCTCACTTTGTTGCCCAGGCTGTAGTGCAGTAGCATAATCTTGGCCCACTGCAACCTCTGCCTCCTGGGTTCAACCAATTCTCCTGCCTCAGCCTCCCAAGTAGCTGGGATTACAGGCTCCCACCACCACGCCCAGTTAATTTTTTATTTTAAGTAGAGATACAGTTTCACCATGTTGGACAGGCTGGTCTCGAACTCCTGACCTCAGGTGATCTACCTGCCTTGGCCTCCCAAAGATCTGTGATTACAGGCATGAGCCACTGGGCACAGCCAATGTTTTCAGAAAGTTTATGAACTTGTGTTGGGCCACATTCAAAGCCTTTGCAGGCTGCAAGCAGCCTGCAGGCTGCGGTTGGACAAGCTTGGATTAGAAAAATCTACAGAAACAAACTAGTGACTTAGCAGACCTCTGATGTTTCATGATCTGCAAGAAACTTAGGATGACTATGTGTAAAGACCACAAACATCAATTTAACTGAATGGTTCCCACCGCATTGGAATGAGGAAGCTGAGCAAGCTCAGAGGACTCTAAGGAAGAGATGATGTCATCTGAACTGCTTGGAATTATAAACTCCTCTAAACATATTTCAAAGCCAGAACTCTAAAGAGCTGTTCTGATACATGGATTAAAAGAGGGATGACAAAGTGTCCTCCCACACTGGTCAAAGGGACAGGTCATTGTTATGTTGGCAACACAGGCTGCTGAAAAGAATGTAACTGTCAAATGTAATCAAGTAATGACCCCAGAACGCTCCAGCAACAAACTGGTAAATTCAGGTCGCTTTTAGACTTCTACAATGTTAGCACATAAGGGGAAGGACAAAACTAACTTGTACAGAGCATTATGTTGGATATTACATTTAATCCTCATTAAAAAGATACCATTTCCACTATTTCACTAGTGAAAAAACTGATCTTTCAAAGGTTAAATTATTTAACACCAAGGTCAAAGGGTAAGTTGAAGAACCAGATTCAAACCCAGTCTGACATTAAAACATGTTTTTCCCTTCACATCATAAGACGATCTCCTGCTAACAACCTCAAACCTAAACTTGCCCTACACCTCTAGCTCCATTCTACAAACTCTCCCTGACATTGTTAATTCAGCATCATTGTGTACCTCCAGCCTCCCCCACTCCTCAAGGCTCTGCAGGTACAGAAGGATCAGGCAAAAATCCCTACCTTCATAGGCATTGTTCTAGGGATAACGGAGGTAAATAAAACATTGAATAGTTTTCAGATAGCAACAAATTCTGTAGAGAAAAATAAAACAGAAGAAGAAATAGCAAATGAGGGGGAATGGCAATTTAAACATGGTGCTAAGGAAAGGCCTCCCTGAGAACAGTTACCCCTCCCCCCAAAAAAGGTAACAGAAATAACAGGTAAAAGGTGTTCTACACACTTAAACTTGCCACAACATTGAGAACTCAGGATTCTATGCAAAACTTTGCTGCATATAATGCATTCACTTATTTTACACATTTAAACAAGCTCACTCTACTGAAGAACTGTGTTCTAAAGGAAAGAGCATATTACAAAGAAGGCAGTTTTTGGTCAGAGTAAACACACTTAATAACAAAACATACTGAAAGACCAAGACCAACTGAAAGTCTTTGCTTGGTCAGATTTTTGACCAAGCCTTTCCAAAAGGAAAATTTAAAATTTTCCTTTTTAAAATGGTGTTTTAAAATACCATGCCCATCCAGTGATTTCACCAAGGAATTTTAAGGGAGAAAATCCTACTTCTTCCTTACCCAGTAACCAGTGAAATGACTGAGCAAATTCACAAGCTCCCTGGGGCTGCTTTCATGTAACACAGAAACGATATATGACAGACACAGTAGAACAGCACAGGCTGGCTACTATTTGAAAGATTGTGAAGAGGAGAAAATGTGTCAAAATTCAAAGTCTTAAATGATGTGGTTTTAAGTATGTTCACCAATTTTACCACTCAGTAGTAAAGTCAGCTACAGTTGTAAGGAATCAGAAATTTGAGGGGTGTGAAAAGCAGGACAGTAGTTAGTCTGTATTCTTCCCACATTTTCCACTTTGATAATGCTGAGAAAAAACCAAATTTAATAATTTTCTGCTGTATAAAAGAGACACATTCACTTTATGTCAAAATAAGACTCATTCAATTTTAATACAACTATCTCAATTTATAAATTAACATTCTCCCCCACTGCCCACACATATTAAGTCTCTTATGGTGTTCCTGATTAGAGAAGCAAAATTTGTGGCTACAATTCTCTTCCTGCATTTTAATATAAACAATCATCAGTCTTTTCTTCATAGAATGCAATGTGAACACCATCATCAGAATGCACCAGCCTGGGTGTGCAAGTTTACAAAGATTAGCAATAGCGAAAGTTTTGGGATTTCTGAAGTTCAAGCTGCCTGCAAAGAACTATGTAAAAACTCAATCACTACAGAGGACCACACAGAAACTCAGGCATGAAGTCACATCGCTGTGGACTGGGAGAAGGAACAGAAAGCACCTCCACCAACCCATACGCCTGAGCAAATGAATACAAAACCTCCAAAAGCTACAAAAATGTTTATATACCTAAATTAAAACTGGTGCCCACAGCAGTGGTCAGCAAAGTGCCTGTGAAGTGCAAATTGGTAAATATTTTAGGCTCTGAAGGTCATATAGTCTCTGTTAAACAATATGTAAATGAGTAGGTGTGACTGTGTTCCAATAAAACTTTATAAAAAGAGGCATCAAGTTATATCCAGTCAGCAAGGTATAATATACCAACCTCTGGTCTAACACTAACCAAAAACCTCTTAATAAGCCAAAGAAGGCTGGGCGCAGTGGCTCACACCTGTAATCCTAGCACTTTAGGAGGCCAAGGTGGGTGGATTGCCTCAGCTCAGGAGTTCGAGCTGGGCAATACCAGCCTGGGGAATACGGTGAAAACCCGCCTCTACTAAAAACCTACAAAAAATTAGCCAGGCGTGGCGGCATGTACCTGTAGTCCCAGCTCCTCAGGAGGCTGAGGCAGGAGAATTCCAAGAACCCAGGAGGCAGAGGATGCAGTGAGCCGAGATCATGC